CACCATGTTGACCAGGATGGTCTCGATCTCTTGACCTCGTGATCCACCCGCCTCAGCCTCCCAAAGTGCTGGGATTACAGGCGTGAGCCACCGCGCCCGGCAGCACTGTATTTTTCTTAAAAAAAAATCTTTTGCCAATTATCTCTGAATTCTAATAATAGGTTCACATGTAGCTCCATAGATCCATGTTTAACAAGAAGTCATCTCTTTGAAATACCCCCATCACCACCACACACACATACACACACACTGCACACACATACACACACACTGCACACACATACACACACACTGCACACACACATCACTCACCACTCCTGTGGCATGGGCCTGGAGAAATCCCAGAGGCTTTCTTTGGTTTTTAAGTTCATGTCCGTGTAACTCTGCTTGCTAGATCACAAGGAAAAAGTCTTATGCTTCCTGCATTCAGGTAGGCAGCCTTGAATTGTGTACCAGGAATATTAATATTGAGCTCAAGGAAGTACTTATTATATTAGCTGGCATATTTTGTTATTTAATAAAGATTTTTTAATGAAGAGTACCATGGAAATGAAATGTTATTGGTATACAGTTGGATTTAATGGTGGCACTATAATTTCATTTAATACCACTTGATAGAGGAAGTAAGAGCTCTTTGTTCAGGAGTAGATTTGGACTCCTGTTCCAAGTATCATGCATTATTTAGAACCATATTCGTATTTGATAAGCTTTTAATCCTGTTGTTCACAAAGTATACCTTCGTTATGAATTTCTCTCCAAGATCTTCAGACTTACAAAACGAACATGAATAAATTAGGCTTTCCAAAGCATGCAAAATGATAAAAGAGTTGGGTTATCTTGATTATGACCTTAAGGACTGGAATAGGCTTGTAAAGCCTTGTTTCTGCTTTAAATAGTCTTGGGACCATCTATATAAAAGGGAGTCAATTAAAATGTGTATTCTTGAAGACTTGTACTTATAAATATCAAAAACAACATGAGCTAGATGAAGGAAAAAAACATTAGGATACAAGAGTGCCTCAAATGCCCCAAAACAGAATGCTGTAAGTCCTCTGAATAGATCTGGGCTGGGACCTAAGGACTGTAGTAATCTCTGTTGGGATTCTTAAGCTGCAGGCAACAGACACTCTTGATCCCAGAATTCAAAGACTTGCTGAATAATCAAGCTCTGAGAGGCACAGGAATCAGAGCAGCCCCAGAGATCCTGATAGCAGCAACCAACAGTTTCTCATGATGATGGCCACCAAATTGACAGCACCGCCTTTTTCTGCCTCAGGTCTCTGCTCAAGGAGCAAGAGGGTGGCAGACTTAACTCATCAGTTATTCCCAAGACCACATGGAACAGGAGTGAGATAGTCCCTGAAGGAGAAGAGGGCACTGTTAAGAAAATGGGGAGGGAGGGATGTCAGGCAGGCAAAAACAACAGATGTCTCTCCTGGGAGTCTAGAAGCATTGGCTCTGTCGCTTGTCTCTGAATTGGCCATCTCTCCTCTCTTCTCTCTCTTCTGTCCCTTCTCTTCTCTCTTCTCTTGCATTTCTCAGCTACCCAATCCACCTGCCAGAGCACTCAGCCAGTCCAATGCCCATATACCCAAGCATTCAGAAATGTTAACTCCCAATTTCAATTCAGAAATCCCAGAGTTGGGATTCCAATTCACCCATTTGTTCCAGGGACCACCAGGACCCTCTTCTTTGGATGAAGGAGGAAAGCAGTTATTCCAGTCAGTCCTTGTGATCTGAATAGACATTCTAAAGGTGTCCACCACAAGGTCTTATTATCCCCTTTTTACATTTTATTTTCCTGTTTTAAAGAGATAACTTCATTTCTGTTGAGATTTCTACAGAAGAGTTGAAAAACAGAAATAGATGTGCTTCCCAATGCCAATTTTAAATCAAATTGGTACCACCAGGTACCAATTTACTTGGAAATTCATTAACTAGGAATACATGTTCACTGGCTATCAAATTTTGTGTCATATTAGAATCTTCTGGAAAGTTAATAAAAATACTGATGCCCAGTTTCCATATCCAGAGAGTCTGAACTTGCTTAATCTCAGCTGTAGCCTGGGCATTAGAAATTTTTAAAACCTCCCCAGACATGCCAGTGTGCAGTCAAGGTTGAGACGACTGCTATAGATTAAATCTGATATGAGGAGAGAGTAGTAGCTTTGCTTAATGGCATATATACCTGTGGGGAAGAGCCTGTATTATTACTTTTCATTTTAAGACTTTAATTTCTGCTTTTCTAATCAAGTGTGTACCAAACATTTTTATCCAAAATGATTGCAAATGGATACTTAAAAAAATAGATTGATTCATTGCAGAAGTACATCTTAAGATAATTTTGTATCAATTTGGGGGCTGATTCAAACAGTTCCTTGTTTCGTAAAATTGGGATGCAACTTACAAGTGACTTTTAAGTCATCAATCTCTAAATTATCATTTAATTACAGAGACCAGTTAGTGGAAATTATGGGAAAACAACTGTCAGCAATAATGGCATCAGATCAATGATTTTGTTTCTCTGGTAATTATAAGTTCTTACTATCTCCAATTAATTTTTATTAAAGGAAAATACTAATATATGCATAGTTCATAGACACTTTTGCCAAAAAAAAACTTTCCCTATTATATTTCTTTGATTTTTAGATGAGTTTCATTTAAATCAGTCGTTTCAATAACATCTTGATCCTTCTTGAAGTGCAAACTGTGTTTAATAAGAATAGTGTAGTTTAATAAGAATAGTGTAGTCACAGAATGTACACCTCAAGCACAATTAATTGAAAGAACTAATTTTAAAATTGCCCCTTGGTTTTAATTAAAGATCTTGCTGCTGGAAGTTTCTGAACTGCCCTTTTTTAAAAACTGTGTAATGACAGCAAGTACACTATCAAAACTTGGCTTGTTCCAGGTTACACTCTGTGACTCTCAAACTTCAATCAAAATGACCAGAAGAACGAAAATTAGGAATCACCTTCCTCAGAGATCTAGAACCAGAAATACCATTTGACGCAGCAATCCCATTACTGGATATATACCCAAAGGAATATATACCATTCTATTACAAGGATATATGCACACATATGTTCATTGCAGCACTATCCACAATACCAAAGACATGGAGTCAACCCAAATTCCCACCAGTGATAGATGGACACAGAAACTGGTACATATACACCATGGAATACTATGTAGCCATAAAAAGGAAGGAGATCATGCCCTTTGCAGGGATATCGATGGAGCTGGAAGCCATCATCCTCAGCAAACTAATGCAGGAACAGAAAACTAAACGCTGCCATGTCCTTACTTGCCAGTGGGAGCTGAACAATGCAAACACATGGACACAGGGAAGGGAGCAGCACACACTGGGGCCTATTCGGGGGATGGGGTGAGGGGAGGGAAAGCATCAGGAAAAATAGCCAATTCATGCTGGACTTAATACCTGGGTTATGGGTTGATAGGTACAGCAAACCACCATGGCACGTGTTTACCTATGTAATAAACATGCACCTCTGCACATTACCCTGGAACTTAAAACCAAAATAAAATTTTTTTAAAAAAATAATCACCTGTTATCACCTGTTCACATATGGTTTTATCATATGATTTCTATTTCATACGTCATTCATTTTGCATTCCAGAAATGTTAGTCATAAAGAGAATTCTTACCCAGCAAATCCTATTTTCTCTTTTTCTCCCATTATACTGGTTAAGATATAATCGTCTAATTGGGCCTAGAAAGGACAATCAAGATCATTTATTTAAATGCTCTGATTATACAGTTGAGAAGAGTGAGATTCAGATTAAGAAGCCCTGTCAAGGTGGGAATTAAGAAGAGAATGCAAATAATAGATTGAGATGGACATCACGAACTCTGAACAGAGGTCACCTGAGGACACTGACACCTTTCCAGGAGTCTGGGATTTCTGTTCTCACTGAGCATTTCTTTTGCTTCATGCACAGTCCTTCCTCCCTCAGTTGTCAGCCTTTAAACCTCAAGGATCAGCATTTCCCAACATGTTTTCCAAGAAACAGAACTCCCACTAAATAAATGCAGTGAGAGTGGGGAAGAGGTCCATGGTCAAACCAAGCTAAAAAACACTGGACAAGTGGAAATGGTCATTTGTCTTTACTGGAGAAGTTCTCAGTGACTTTAAGAGACTAACATGCATAGGGAATCTCCAATGGATGAGTGGCACTCCTTGAATTTGTCTACAGAATCCTTTTTCTGTAGAATATCTCAAGGATTTTATCCACCCATATCCTTTGAGAATGCTGCTGTAGATCACTCCTCCAAAGCTGGGAGCTCCAACCCCCCAGAACTCAAGAAATGTGTCCTCCATCCTCAGTTTGTTTGTTTGTTTGCTTGCTTGCTTGTTTGGTTAGTTGGTTGAGAGAGAGAGAGAGAGAGAGAGAGAATGTGTGTGTGTGTGTGAGAGAGAGAGAGAAAGTGTGTGTGTGTTTATGTGTGTGTGTGTATGAGAGAGAGAGAGAAAGAAAGATTTGGTGGTGGGGTGGGGGGTAATTAGTGGAATTTTGT